TCAAAATGGCGCAACGGTGAAAAGGCCTTTGGGAAGACACGAATTCGTGGAATTGAAAAGCCTACATGGAAAACAAGAAAAAAAAACGATTAGAATAAATCAGAAATCTGTCGGAGATGATAATAATAATAAGGCTTGTCTTAGAGTCCGAAGATTAATGAGGAATGCAGTATTTCCCATGGTTCAGCTGTGACCTACATTTTTTGCCACATTCGAGGCCAGCAAAAACCTTTGTCCGCCGGTGGTCGATTTAGATTTTCTTTTTACCTTCTACGTCTGTCCTCGGCAGCGGATTTTTTTTGCTTAGGTCTCAAATGTGTATCCGACGGCGTTTGTGAGTTTCCTCCAGCTGTCTTGTTCTGAGACCGCATGCAACCAGGTGCTTTCTTCTATGTCAGATTAAGCATATTGGCGCCTAAGCTGGTCTTTAAAGCGTTTCCATGGGGCACCTCTGTTAGGCTGACCACCTTTTAGCTCACCAAAAAAATTTACCAGCGTAAATGTCGGACCATAAAAAGTCCCTCTATACTGTCCATACTGGCGTTCGCAAGGACATCTTGTCAGAGATGACAGTGTTATAGGAATTAACTTGTCAAACATATTGAAATATCAAGATGACTTATCATCGAATATTGTAATTGAATGGTCCGAGAATGAGAAATACAGTCATTTTTTTTTTTTTAAAAACGCCATGAATACATTAGGCTTTATATCAAACTTTTGAGAAATCCCAGCCCAGAATCAAGGAAAAAACATAAAATTAACTGGGCCGGACTTAGTCTTGATAAGGCCCTACGCTGTTAGAGATGTGGGGCCTCTTGTAATGTTATTTTTTCTTTGGTCTTTCTTTAAAAATGGGGAACCCTAAGCAAGCAGGGGTTTATGGAAATTCCATAAGATAGCCAATCATGAGGCTTCACTAAATACAAAGATTTAACTGAGCAGGTAAACCATTTGTAAGCCTCAAGGCACTAAGGCTCCGTACTGAGACTAATCCCTTACAACACGTTCCAGGTATCTGGCAGTGTTCTGTCGGGTTCGCTGTCTCCGTATAGAGCGAGACCCCGCATGCACCAGTTCAATCAGTTTCAAGACTAGTCGTATCTTCGACTGTGTTTCTGAGCACCCTGCAATCGTAGAGAATGTGTTCTACTGAGCAAGTAAAACCAAACTTAGATGTAGATCCTCCAATTGAGAGGTAATACCAGACATAGCCTAATTATATTATGAAGGAGAAAATAAAACTTAAGTATGACATTCCCCTTTTTGCAGGCCACGGCTTTGTTTGCATTAGATATAGCAAAATATTCAGGTCACAAATGTAGTTTCGTGGTCATGTGAAATAATGCACTTGTCCTGAATCTTCGGGATCGACAACATTTTTATTCTCGAGATCTCTGCCGCTGGATGGAAATATCGGCATTCACATTTTTTTTGTATGTGATCCAGCTCTTCAAAAAGTCCCCTATTGGCAATTACAGCCTCTTTGATGCATGGGCGTAGCCAGGAATTTTTTTTTCGGGGTGGGGGTGGATTTTTTCTCCCCCTCCCCTAAAAAAACCCATTCATATGTGTGTGCGTGCATGTGCGTGCGTGTGTGTGTGTACATATTAAATCCCTTCAATCTTTAGGAAGACATTTATTGTACCCTAGAATAGGTTCTTCCTGGAGTTAGTGAGAAAATTGTAGGCTTCTTGCCATTGCCAGCAAAAGGGGTCTGAAGGAGCGCTGTGAACTCCCCCAGCGCGGATCGGAACCACGCCGCCAAGCACTATTTCCGGTATTAAAAGCCAAAAAAAAATGCATATTCATAGGTATCTACAGTGCATTATCCTGCTATTATAAAGTTTTATTTAAAAAACCTAAGTGCTATTCTTACCGACTTAGATCCTCCCGCGTCGTTCGGCGCATTGGGCGCAAGCTGCTTCCACAAAAATCTGTCACCAGCAATGTCTGAAGCCTCTTTCCACCTGCTCTGAGGACCTCCATGAAAGTGTGGCGCCAAGTTGTACTAGGTTGTCCCTGTTTGCGCTTTCCTCGTAATGGCCTCCATGTCATCGCAACTTATTATGCGTAATTCATTTTGTCGGAGAATATGTCCGGCAAACCTCACGTGACGCTCTGTCACAACCTTACTAAGGGTCGACTCCCAGTTCGGCATAGGATTTCCTTGATTGAGACCCGATCTCTATAACTGACCCCTAAAATCCGTTTTAGACATCTTTGTTGAGCCACATTTAGACTATTCACTGCACTATATTAATGGAGCCTAGCCACTGGTAGAAATGTGTAACCTTTCTTGGCTACGCTCATGTAATTAGGTGACTGTAGTTTGCTATAGATTTTATATCAAAAAGGGAAATTTTATCGTCAAAATCATTTGGGGAGGGGGGGGGGGAAGTAGGAGTTAAATCTGTGGAGTTTTTGTTTGTTTATTTTTAATTTAAAACCCCATTAGCTACGGTCATAGAATTTGGTGACTCTAGTTTGCTTTAGAATAAAATTGAAGAGAGAGGATTTTCAACATCAAAACTCTCTGTACGGAGGTATTTAAACTCAAAACCATCAGGAGGGGTTTTAAACTTAAAAAAAAAACAACTCTGGAGGAGGGGGTTTAAACTCAAAACCCCCCTTTGCTTGGCAACGCTCATAGAATTTTGAGTGTGAAATTTGCTTTTTTTTTTATTTTGAAGAAGTGGTTTTTAGCTATAAACCCTGCTGGAGGGGGGTTTTAAACACAAACCCCTCTTGGCTACGCTCATTGAATCTGGTGACTGATGTATGGATAGTCTAATATTGAAAGGGGGGGGGGGGTATCGTAAATTTCGGAGGGGGTTTTAAAATCAAAATTTTCCTTAACTATGCTCTTGGAATTAGGGGATTGTCTTTTGCATTCTTTTTTTTTTTTTGGTTTTGTTTTATAGAAGAGGGGGATTTGACTGCAAAACTCCCTGGTAGGGGTTTTTAAACTCAAAACTTTCTTGTTGCGCTGGGGCAAGTGATGGTTTAGTATTACAATCTCACCTAATATAAATAGAATCAAGCAAAAAATCAGTCACTAAATTCCTTGCGGGAGGGGGGATTTCATTTCGGGGGGGGGGGGGGGAAGAGGTTTTACCCCTCCCCTTTGGCTACGCCCATGCTTTCATTTTATTGATGGTTTCAATCGCTTTAACAAGTTCACTGTTCACGGCTTTTCAAATTCTTCTTTAAAATGTTTGATCGTATTTTTGCTAGCGAATTTGTCAAAGATTTTAAACATCTACTCCGCACAGAATTGTGCAACTGTTGAACACAGGAAATACATCGAATCTTTGTAGGCGTATCGAAGTTCATCTAATCCAAAGTTAGAGGGAAAATGTCTTTTCCAAGCCCCAAGAAGCCGGATTCCTATTTTCCGCCCATCGCCTCTGTGAAAATCCGCAACGCCGCTGGTGGCGATACATTTGACCCGGGGGAGGAAGTTCCAGTGAGTGAGATGGTGAACATGATTGTCGAGGCGCTGGAGGAGCTGGACAATGAGCAAGGCTCCACCGTGTCGGAGATCAAAAGGTTTCTCACGTCTAAGAAATTACTGAACCAGAACGCTGATCTGCGTCCGGGCATCATCCTGGCGTTGAAGACAAACAAGATCAAACGACCTCTGAGTGCGGTCAAGGCCGGAGTGTACGGCAAGTACGTCCTGGAGGAGGCCGAGTCGGACACGGAGTTCTCTTTGAGAAGCCCGAAGAAGGGAAAGATGAACAAAAGCTCACGGTCAGGAAAGACGAACAGAACAAGGAAGACATAGAACATCTTGCTGCACTGTGTACACTTTGGGTGCTCTTAAGAACAATGTTGTCACGTGATCACACGATAAGGTAAGGATGACTAGAAAAAAACAAAATGCAGATGTATGATTGTCAAGCAATTCTGTAGGATACAGTGTAAGCATGGCTGTCGAGCATGATACAATATATAGTGTATGTATGGCTGCACTGCATAATACAGTTAATGTATGGCTGTCAAGAAAGGCTGCATGATACAATGTATGCATGGCTGTCAAGAAAGGCTGCATGATACAATGTATGTATGGCTGTCATGAAAGACTGCATGATACAATGTGTGCATGGCTGTCAAGAAAAGCTGCATGATACAATGTATCATTATGTTTGGCTGACGATAACCGTTTCCTCTCGTGTAAACTTGATGATGTATATTTGTGTTTATTATTTACCTAAGATATAGCCAGACATTTCTATTATGTATGACCTAAATCTCCCAGGTATTCTAAGATATGGGTAGGTTGACGTGGGACACGAAGAAAGTTTCCCGCTGCATTACTGAATGAAATGAAACCCACTGTAATTGGTGGGGGATTAGACTAGTTGTGTCGTCCCTCCCGTTCCCGGTACTTCCACAGATACTTAGGTTTTATTGCATTGGAGTGTTTCCTTCCTACGGACAATGTGAAATAACACTACAGACAAGGCTTGAGTTCCCCAGACCGGATGGAACAGGTGGGGGGGGGGGGGGGGGGGGGGCACACTGCGGAATCAAATCCTTGCCTAAATATACTGGGCAATAAAGAATCAGTATTGCTGCCAAAAAGTATTGCATTAACTATATTTCCTTCTTTCTTTTTTAGGATAGATACAAACTGAGCTGGGCTGTAGAAACTTTACCACACACACACACACGACACCTATTAAATACTTTGATATAATTTAAAATGGTAAATATCTTGAGAATATTTATAGATTATCTAAAAGGTAATGTATACATGAACGCTAAATCTATCAGATAGCTGAATTCTCTAATTTGTGTTTAGACTTTTTTTCATACAGCACAGACTTTGAATAATTCAATTTGTCTTTAAAAAGTAAACTGCACAAATTTTGGCTAATAGAACTTTCTGCACTATTCACACCAGAAAAGGCGAATCTTAAACTCGTACAAACAAGAGTTATTGAAACTGTAAAATGATACGATCACGAACAGTGTAAATAAAAAGCATGGGCCTTCTTTTGAAAAGCTCTTTATTATTAGTTAACTGGTTTAAAAACAAAATAAATAGCCAACCATCAGAATAGACGTGAAATTATCTCCCCTTTTTTAAAAAATGTCTCATCACAACAAAAGGAGTTCAGACATTGAAACAAAACCAACACAAAGGCACTAAGATTAGTATATCAGTCCCATCATTTACAAAAAAAAAAAAACAACAGTAATATCCATTAAGATAGTGAGCATATGATATTGTACAAAAATAATGCTTAGATTGAGTTCAAATGTGAAATGGGACTCACATATTAACCCATTATATTGAGTTAAATTATTCATGTAGTTACAAATGTCAATGATGAAGAATGACCAAGATATGATAAAAGATATTCACAAATTTATTTCTGTCCATTGAAATAAACTTTCACCCTATTTTCAGCTGATTGTAGTTTCAGCTTTCAGTTTTCCAGTGCATTCACATCAAATGTTTGGCATGTGAACCAATGTACAAAGTACTGGTAGCTCAAGAGTGTGTGGTACTGAGGTGAAGAGCAGTACAGTTGAACTGGAAGTTTTAAACTTGTTACATGTTGGACCAGAGAAAAAACAACAACATGCCAATTGCTTTCAGTCCATCTTTACAGAACCAAACAAAAGTGTCCATGTTTACAAAACCAAACAAAAGTGTCCATGTTTACAAAACCAAACAAAGGTGTCCATGTTTACAAAACCAAACAAAAGTGTCCATGTTTACAAAACCAAACAAAGGTGTCCATGTTTAAAAAACCAAACAAAGGTGTCCATGTTTAAAAAACCAAACAAAGGTGTCCATGTTTACAAAACCAAACAAAAGCGTCCATGTTTACAAAACCAAACAAAAGTGTCCATGTTTACAAAACCAAACAAAAGTGTCTATGTTTACAAAACCAAACAAAAGTGTCCATGTTTACAAAACCAAACAAAAGTGTCCATGTTTACAAAACCAAGCAAAAGTGTCCATGTTTACAAACAAAAGAGTTCATATTTACTAAGCTTGATCTTGTAATTTTACAAAGTATAGTCAAGTCTGAAGAGCTCTGTATGTAATGACACTAGAACTCAACTAAAAAAGCTAAGCAGATCCAACTAACTGTATTCTTTTTGCCAATGAGAAACTGTGTTACTAGAATTTGACCTGTCCTCATGTCTAGAATAAGTCTGAACTTCCAATATCTTTATTAATTAGTATAAAGAGATGAAATAGGAAATTGCACATTACAAACTTATCAAGAAGAAAAAAATTGTCATGAGCTAGATGAAAAAATGAGTGGCAAACATAGAATGGATTTAGAACAGAAAAAAATGATAAATGTCCTTATACAAATTATATATATTTTTTTCTTTTGCAACAGGGTTTCAGAAATAGACCCATCTTTCATCCAAATAAACGATCAAAATGGTAAGCAACATATATCTTTGCAAGACAAGTAAGCTATCTGTTTAGTTTGCAAAATTAAAATAATGAAAGATTCTGTATTTTTCAATGCAGGTTAAAGAATAGATTATTAACATATAAGACAAAGGCCTAAAGATTGATAGCTTTTGAATGTTAAATTTTAAGGTATTTTAACTTTTGTTTGGTAAGTATTGAACTAAAATGAAAATGTAAGTTTAAGATCATAAACTAATAAGCATTACAGATTTAATCAAGAAACTTGGTCTTTTTGTTTTCCCTTCGATTAAAAAGAAATGACTTTTGTATAGCAACATTTTTTTTCAATTGCATGATCATGTCAGGGGAGAGAATACTTGGGAAAATGTTTGTTGTTTGTTTTGCATGATGTTTCATGCTGTGCTCAACAATAACAAGTTGTGCTAAATTGAGGAATTGAACTTGAGCTTCCTTGGTAGGCAGCGGCTTTTACCACTCCGCCACACATCCCTGACAGGAAATATAGTTGACTTTATGTAAAAGTAGATCATTTATTACATGATTGCTTTCTATGTTTTTAATCAATCTAAAAATAACTAAATGTACTCCCACCTAAAACATTTTGCAGACACCACCATCCCCTAGAAATATTTATACTTTTATTTATATGTTTCCTTATCGACTCCCGACTTGGGCAGAGTTGTGTTTACTGAGCGCCTAAAGGCAGCACGGAAAACCAACTCCAAGATACCCCCCCCCCCCCCCCAACTGGTCCACATATCAGATTGGACCAAAAGCGCTCTGAGCATGCTATAAGCATGAAAGTAGCGCTATATAAAAGCTATAATAATAATGATGATGTTCATACTTAAAATACACCCACACCCCCAAAAAAAACAACAACATCACAGTAAAATTTTGGAAATGTGATGCACATCAGCTATTTACAACATTGTTGCTTCATAACAACTTAAAAAAAACATAACAGTGAAATGTTAAAAATACATCAAAAACAAGAAAATCAAAACAAACTATCAGCAAATCAAAACAAAACATTAGTTAATACAGTATAAGTATCCTGTCTTTAAGATACATGAAATGTATTTCTACTTTTTTATTTCATATAACACATCTCTCATGCTCTAGCTAGCACAGTGATCTGTTGTCCTAATATTTGTAGAGATGGGGGTGGGGGAGTATAGGGTTTGTGCATGCCCTGAGAGCCTAGAAAACACAACTCAGCTCTTGTAATGTGATTTGTAAAAAGCTTGACTGAGAAAGAAAGTATCTATTAAGATATATTAATGCTTATTTTTTTTTTTTTGCAATTCACAGAAGAAAACATAACACAAGAGAAGATCCCCTTCAGGTCATCAGGATTATTAAAAAAAAAGAAACAAAAAAAGAAGTGAAACAAATGTTAATTTGTGATGCACACACAAAAAAACTGAGACTAATGCTACACAATGAAATAACTGTGTTGATTGATGAATTGAATATGCATACTGTCAGTGTGTACGCTCTATCCAATGTACTGGTCAGAGATTGTAGGATTGCTATGACAACAATGCGTTAGATTTTAAAATTAGGCATGTGTTGAAGTATAACATGTTCTCTTATTTACAAAAATGTATAAGCTGTAAAAAAAAAAAGAGTTAATATGCTCAGCGTCAACAATGATGGATAAAGTCTTACACACATTCACACACTCTTACACATTCACACACTCTTACACACATTCACACACTCTTACACACATTGTTAATGACGGAAATCAATTATTGAAATGATGTCCTACTTGGAATTCCATGAAAATGTACCCTATTGAAGATAACACAATAGTATACAATATGATTATTCTTTAAAAAGAAACAGCATGAAAGAAAAAAAAAATTTAAATGGGTAGGTGTTGGCAGTTAAGTTAATGAAAGCTAACGACAAGTTCTGTTGTAACATTACTGACACATATAGACATATAGGTCATGCAATGGCACCTGGATACACTTATTGTAGATTAGCCAAGATAAATAAGATGTACCACTTAACTCACCAGTAATGAATGAATAAAAAAGTATTTTTTTCCTTAAGTGAAAAACCAAATGACCACTATGAAAGGTGAATAAAAAAAACCAAATGGCCAATATGAAAGGTGAATGGTGAATTAAAAAAACAAAATAACCAATATGAAGGGTGAAAGGTGAATTCAAAAAACAAATGACCACTATAAAAGGTGAATGGTGAATTCAAAAAACAAATGACCACTATGAAGGGTGGAGGGTGGATAAAAAAAAAATTTGAAACAAAAATTATGTACAACAAACATTAATTATCACAGAAAATTAAGACATTCATCACAAGAATAAAAAAAAAACCTATAAGATATTCATATTTTTTAGACCATAACAATGACCTATCATTATAAGATCCTGTAAAAGAGTCCACCAATTTAAATCTCTTACACTGGAACTATATAAACCCTGTATTCTAATACATGTGTTTATTTCCACTGGTTCTTCTCTTAGACGTACTCAAACACATCAAATGTGCAGTTCAGACATTCAAGCCAACTCTATAAATAAGGTTTGTGTTCCGTTCATTTAAACTAGTAACAACATAAAAAGAATTATTTAGTTTTAAAGAATGCAATTTTGCACAGACCATTAATTGTCTGATAGCCCAGGCTGATATAAAGACATAAAAAAAAATAAGAGTCCACAATTTCAAACTAAAATCTTTAAAACCATAAGATAATGTATAAGGTTTTATAAATAGAAATGTTTCAACTAATTAAAAAAAAAATTAAACCAAATATTAGTGTGTGTAAAAGAAAGAAAACAAAAACTTCTGTGAGCTATGTCAACACTTTATGGAATAGCTTCTCAAGACGAACTCAGGAAGTTGAGTGTGAGATTACAAGCCAACTTATGACAAAATAAAACAGGCCCAATGGATACATGGCTAAAGCTTTTCTCCCTGTGGGCTGACTTTCATGCAGAAATGCTGTGGAGGCTGAAAGAAAAAAGAAAATAATTCAAATGAAATCATTGCACTGCTTGAACTTTGATCAGTAATTTTTTTGTTTTGTTTATGTACACTAGACAAGGCTTTTTTTTTTAAAGAAAGGAAAGATAATACTTATATTTGAAAATAGTCTAAAAATGAGTAAGTTGGAAAAAAAATAGAGACACATTCCTGAGCTAAATTGGCATGGTTTATAGTGTCATGTAAAAAGCCATGGTTTATAGTGGCATGAAATACATCATGATTTATAAAGGAATGAATATAACAAGAAATCTGCTTTTGCAACTTCTGCACATTACTACTACATTTCTTATTGTGAAATTTAGAAAAATTAAAATTAAGATTAAAACATTAATAAAGAAAAAAAAATATTAACCAAAGGTTATTCCATAAATGTCTTTACATCTTGCTAAAAATAAACATCTACAGTTCAAATTACTTGGAAATACAAATAAAAATGTAATGCTCACCAAACGTTGACCAACCAAATCCTAATACAACACATAGAAATCGAATAACAAAAAGAACAGTGGACTCTGTGCTTATAGCCAGTATGATCCTACAGGCGATAAGTGCCACAGCCAGTGGGCACACACAGTAACCCAGCACACAAATACTCTGGAAGAAAGAACTGGGAAGAAAAAACAAATGTAATTTAAAAGTAGACTAAATAAACATTTTATCAATTGCAATAAATAGGAATAAGACAACAGTGTATTACTATAAACTTACAATAAATTAACAAACCAAATCAATATAATACAGCTCGTACAAGTAAACCAGCTGCCAATGGGAAACATATAGGAGTCATACAGCCAAGAATTTCTAATCTGTAATCTGGTCCATTTGACAAAAGTAAGTTAAGTTCCCCTTTCAGACCTTGTCATCTGTAGGTCATCTATTTCTTTGGCCAACGGTTAATGAGCAGGGTGTCGTGGCCAACACAATGACCAACAGACTTTACATTCCCTTCCTAAAGCCAGGTACCCATTAGAGTTGGGTAGACTCGGGGGCACCCTAAAAATCCTGAAATTAAAAATCCAGTCTTTACTGAGATTTGAAACAATGACCCCATGTTCGGAAGCCAAGCGCTTAATGTAATAAAAAATGATAAAAAATAGACATTCCTTTAAAGTAAGGGGAAAAGTTAGGGTCAGGATACTGGAGAGACTGAATATTTCATGATCATTTAGTGTCGTAGCCAGGGCAAAAACAACCTTGTATACATGACATACATAGCAAGGGCGTAGCTGGGAATTTTCCATCGTTTGGGGGCCCGGGGGGCTTGACCTCTTTGGGGGCCCCTGCATTTTTCGAAATATTTAATTTTTAATGTAAAAAACACTCATGTGGGGGCCCCCCTAAGTGGGTGCCCAGGGGGATTTTCAAATTCTCCCCCCTCCTCCTTCTACCGTAGCTACACCACCGATTCTTTTAAAGCTGACTAGAAGTAGAAATAGCACTACTAGCAAAGCTCAACTTGGATGAAAAGTCTAAAAAATATTCTCTCATAAATTTAAGCAATCTCCCAAATCTCTTTTTTTTTTTAATGACCCTCAACTATTTTTATATAAATTTTCCAAAGCATCTAAATAAAAAAAAAACAATTCTGTTACGGTATTAGAAAGTTTTCACACAGAGAATAAAACTGTCAATGTTCAAAATTTCCTTAATGTTATTAAGTAATTTCCCATTAATTTTATAACTTTACTTTTTAACTCTCAAAGTAAAAAGAAGTCCTTTATAATTGTGTGTATAAGTTTGAAGAATCATCTTGGTAAACTTAAAAAAAAAAAAAATTAATTTGCAGTTTTAAAACTGTGATTAATCATTCTTCCAATTAATTTTTTTTTCATAATCTTTGCTGCACTAAAAGTGGATGGATTCTTAGGAAAGTTCAAATAGAATGGTATTCTTTTAGCACTAAGCCAAATGAAATGTTAATATGAAAGAATCATCATAAAGTTTGGCATGCTCAGAGAAATATGGTCCAATCATTTTGTGGACCTGTGTGGTTAGGGGGTATCTGGGAGAAGGTTTCTGAGCTGCTTTTAGGTGCTCGAGTCAGGATTCAAACTCAAGACTCCTTGTTAGGTGGCCAGGCGGATTTGGTCTCTCAGCCACACATGCCACTTAAGTTACAGCATCCAAACGTTTCTCATAAGACATTGATAGATAGGTTTGACACAATGAAGACACCCACACATCACAAAAACTTTACAAGTGCTGTGACTGTTAATTCACTTACATGTTTCCTCCAAGTAGTTTTATGTTCAATGTAACGATGCTGGCCCCTAGCCAGTATATAACAAAGACTTCAGCAAACTGTGGTCCACCATCATTCTGACTCATTTGATCTAATTCATTGGAAGTGCCTTGGAGCATTCTGAGAGAACAGTGTTATAATGACAAACATTCAATCATCAAAATGTGTGTATGCCATTTGAGCAAAACTTACAATAAATGTTCAACTAATTATAAATCTTTTTACATTTCCTAACCCATTGTTTTGATACTGATAAGTTATTTATGTCAAGAAAAAAAAAAAACCACAACTAAAGAGAGTATCTTGTGAATAAATAATACCTCCAGAATATCTGACATATTTTTTTTTTAAATAAACATTAAATATCCTCTAAAACAAAAAGAAACAATTTCAGTAGAATAGATAATACCAAATAATACAAGATTAACATGTTATTATTACTTACATTGCTAGAAATGTACACAGTACAAGTGGGCCCCAAAGATCCCCTAAAAATATTGAATGAAACAATGTGAGAATAACAAATAAAAAAAGAAGAAATAGTGTATTTTAAAAATAGTTTAAAGAAAAACTGAATCAATTAAAACTGTGCACTTTAAATGATTATTATTATTTAAAAAAAAAAAAAAAAAAGTAATGTTCCCCTCTCAGACCTTGTGGTCTATAGAGCAGATGATGTAAAGGTCATTGTTTCTGTGGCCTATGGATAACGAGGGTGTCATGCGACCAGCACAACGACCAACCGCCTTTACTTTTCCTCAACTAATGTCAGGTACCAATTACAGCTTGGTGGACTGAGAGGTGCTGCCCAAAGATCCTGAAATTAAAAATCTCAGTCTTCACCAGGATTCGAACCCGGGACCGCACCTCATAAAGAATAAAGGCACTTGTACATTCAGTCAATTTTAATAAAGATCTTTAATTTTTGAAATCTAAAATGTTTGTACATTTCATCACCATGTTTTAATATCGAGATTTTTACAATATTTTGTTCAGTAGGACTTATTTAAATGCAGAATTATTTAACATGGAATAAGTTTCTGAATGACACGAAGCAAGTTTTTGAATGACAAAGTACAATTTAAGTCTTATATAGAATCTAGCTCTGAACCAATAGAAGTGTCATTCTCAACTTACACTCCTTTAGTAACAATTTGCTTTTCTTTGGTACCAACACATGAGCAAATTTTTTCCCAACAGCTTTCAAGTCTCGCAACTGTTAAAAAAATAATACAGCATGATAAAGATCTTTTGATAAATTTCTAGAAATATATAAATATTTAAATGAGTCAAATACAGTATTCATTAAGGAACACATTTAAATTAGTGGTAGTTACAATTGTCTCTTTGACTGGTTCATCCAAAGTTGAAAGTTCATCATCCGTCTTAGAGATGCCAGGCACTTCTATCTCTCCTTCTAAAGGAA